ATATATATCCAGAAGAAGTTTTTATAGGAAAAATGCATGTTCTAAAAATTTTAAAAGACTTTTTGTACATGTAACACAACATTTGGACAATAAATAAATAAAAGTCTGAAGTAATTTGTTCTTTCAGTTGAGTATTCCACCTTTTCTTGACAGGAAATGGACATTGAGGTGGACGAGAACGGAACCCTGGACCTAAGCATGAAGAAGCCCATCAAACGAGAGGGTAGCCTGTCGGGCACCAGCCCCGAGGTTCGGTCCCCGGACCCTTCATCTTCCTCGTCCTCCTCCTCCTCCCTCCATCACAGCGGAAACAGCGGAATGACATCGCCGAACCTGCACACATACAAGCAGGAGGACTGGGACGGACCTCTGGATTTCACCAAACCCAACCGCCAAAGGGAAGAGGAAACAGACGAGGTCAGTACAGTGAGACGGGACCGGGTTAGAACCTGCAGAATTTCCTGCAACATTAGTCACAGAGGAAGCATCGCTACTAAAATAACAACAGACAAAACTCCCCCTGAAGCCTTTTGAATGAAAAGTTCTTGTTTACATCACTTTTTTTGTCTAATTGCCTTTCCTTATTTCCTGTCCCATTTTCCTCTTTCTATTATTCATTTATTTGAGTGAAAAACAAGAGTTACTCTGCAGTTAAAACACTGCACTGTGTGACAGAGGTGGTGTGTCAGGTGCATTGCACCATCCGGGATTTGGCATATGCTAATTTTCACTGCTTTGAACATTTTCAAAAGAAATTTAAAGGGCCTTGAATGTTAATTTTTCATGATGACATTTCGCATTTGGAAACTTCACGACTACAAAAAATAAAAAAGTGGTCGTGTGTGCACTTCTCTAAGTTTTTTTTTTTTTTTTTTGTGGTACATTGAAGCCATTATCAAAATGAGGCTTCAAAAAATCTCAATCCTCAGAACAAATAAATGCAGAAAATGTCCTTGCATTTTGATCACCAATGCTTTTATCAACTTCTTTTAGCTGGATCACACAGCCCAGTCATACGTCTCATCGGACCCAGAAGACTGTGACATGATGCAGGACTGTCTGGAGGACAGGAAGTACCCCGGAGAGGTGACCACCCCCACCTTCAAAGTCAAGTTTCAGCCCAAGGATAGCAAAAAAGAGCTGCTCTCGTAAGTCTTCCTGCAACTTTATCAACCATGGCTTCACTTTGACAAATTTAATCAAAATTCCCTTAATTGAGACCAGGGACCTGGCCAGGCAGTGTGGCCACGCCTTTGGTCACGCCCCTGGCCACACTGCCTGGCCACCCCCACCCGGGCTGTCAGTTACTTTGTTCGTACTGCAAATAGATTAGCGTTTCAAACTGGAATCTTGGAATGGCACATTAAATACATTAAATACACTAAATACATTAAATACATTAAATACAACAAGAAAAAGAAGAAGAATCTTTGGACTGAAGACCACCGGTGGCATTGGATAAAAAAATTAGTATCTCAAGACTACGTAATAATAACACGTGACCATTCAATAATAACACATAGTCATTCAATAATAAGACATGGCCATTCATTAATAATGCATGGCCATTCAATAATAACATGTGGCCATTCAATAATAACATGTGGCCATTCAATAATAACATGTGGCCATTCAATAATAACATGTGGCCATTCAATAATAATTCGTGGCCACAATAGCAGCTTTACTGTGCCACCCTTCTGCACTCTGCCCCCCCCCCCCCCCCAAAGAAACAAAACTCTATTATTTTCAGGTTATGCTTCTCTGCTTTATCCCTGAAGCACTTCCTCTAACTGCCCTCTTCCTCTGCAGGTGTCCCACACCTGGTTGTGATGGCAGCGGACACATCACGGGGAATTATGCGTCCCACCGCAGGTACGCTCTTCAGCCGCTTTCTCAGAAACGTTCGCTCTGCTGAGACTCTYGGGTCCCCAGCAGCCGAACCAAGACTAATTCAAAGGTTTTATTTGATCCTCGCAYGCCGGGGGCAGTAATGTAGCGTGAGCCCAGAAAGCAAAGACGGCGGTTGACTTTGATATGCATCAGTAATTTACTTCTTTCTGTCTGCCCTCTTATTCCTAAATGACCTTGGTATGCCTTGCATTCTTGATTTCCCTCCACTCACGTCTTTCTCCTCTCCTTCCTCTGCCTGTCCTTCGCTCTCTCTCCGTCCTCCCTCAGTCTGTCTGGGTGTCCTCTCGCTGATAAGAGCCTTCGGTCCCTCATGGCGGCCCACACCCCTGAACTCAAGTATGTCTGCTCTACACCTTCGTTGCCCTTTCACCGCCACCTCAGCCACATCCTGCTGACGATGACTTTATCTTTTTACGGCTGGCTGCTTTATCTGCTGCATCTGTCACGCTGTTTTGTTTTGTTTTGTTTTGTTTTTTAATGGTCTGCACCTGCTTTCATTTCAATCTGTTCAGTTAAATCTAAAACTAATCTGTATCCAGTCACGAATACTGAGCCACTTTTAGGGTTTTACTTTTCGAGATCTGATAAAAACTCTTACGATTTTCAGGCAGAAATGAACCCATAGCGCAGGTAAAAATCTAAAAAGGCAAAAAGGTGATTTATTTAACAAAGAAGGCTGTCAGGGCAGCTCAAAAACTAACTTGGTGTAGCTAGGCAAGACAAGACAAGACAAGGCAACAAACATACAGGCTGTAAACAGCACAATGATCAGACAGGGAAGTGAAGACAAGACAGAATATAAAGGTGAGAATAACGAGAACAAACAGGAAACACCTGGGAGAGAAACATGAGGAGCAGGTGAGAGTGGGCGGGGCTGTASCAAAGGCAAACAGGAGGAAGAAAACAGATGACAAGACAGAAACTAAAATAAAACATTAACACAAACAACAATCATAACAAAAACCATCAAATCTGATGTCAGTTGTGTTGTTATTTATTGAATAAAAAGAAAATGTTAAAGCTGTGAGTGGAAAAACCGGTTCAAGGATCCCAGAGGTTCAGGATCAGCAGATGTACCCCAAAGGACAGACTCTACAGGCCTCACTTAGCAGGTTACAGGTCAAAGGTTATGGCTTCTCCTCTCTAAAACCAGCATGGCAGAATGACTTGTTTCTATCTGAAGGAATCACAAGACTTTCAGGACCAGAAGCAAGTGGAGACATTAACCTATAATACACTGCAGCAAACAGCCCCTCCCAGCTGTCAGCACGGCGGTGGAGGGCTGATGGTTTGGGCTCACTGATCAGACCTTGAATTCTTCTTTRGACCAAAAGGTTCCAGAGACAACTGTCAAAGATCCCAAATACAGCAGCTCATCTACTACAGAGAATGAGTCACAAAGAAAAGAATAGAAGTGCAGCATCGGTCCAAAAGTCCTGAACCTGATCCTGATCCTGACTGAAACGCTGTGAGAGAGCTGAGCAAAAACCTAAACGAGAGCTACTGCTGCTGGACTGTCCGCTTTTTCACACACAGCTTTAAAAGTTTAGGCTCATTAGTTCCTATAGTTCAGTTCTATGGTCCAGGTATAGTTCCTATAGTTCAGTTCTATGGTTCAGGTATAGTTCCTATAGTTCAGTTCTATGGTCCAGGTATGGTTCCTATAGTTCAGTTCTATGGTCCAGGTATGGTTCCTATAGTTCAGTTCTATGGTCCAGGTATAGTTCCTATAGTTCAGTTCTATGGTCCAGGTATAGTTCCTATAGTTCAGTTCTATTGTCCTGGTGTAGTTCCTACAGTTCAGTTCTATGGTCCTGGTGTAGTTCCTACAGTTCAGTTCTATGGTCCAGGGGAAGAAGCTAAATATAATTAATCATCTCTCACTCATAACTCCATTTCCATAACATTTTTGACATATTTGTGGTTTGATTCTTAACCTAAACGCTTCCTTTCCTCAGATGTCCCACTCCTGGATGCGACGGCTCGGGTCACATCACTGGAAACTACTCGTCTCACCGGAGGTAACGAAACACCAGAAGAAGAGCTTCACTCACATGAACACACAGCCGGTCAGTCAGAGAGGACTAGAACAGCTGGTGGTAGAGTTAGACAGGGACCACATTCACATCCTCCCACTTTTCAGGCGCTTCTCAGTTCATTTCTCTCTCATCTGGTTGAACGACCGCTTGAAAATTATTCTGCCTTCTCATGTTCTCTCCCTTTATCAGTCACCACAACGTTTTTTTTTCTCCAAACCCAATGTTATCAACTCCATACTTTCTGTTTTCAGTCTCTCTGGGTGCCCGCGTGCCAAGAAAAGTGGAATTAAAACTCCTACCAAGGACAACCAGGAGGACTCGGAGCTTTTAAAGTTCGTACCGCTCAGACAGCCGTAACGTCTGCCTTTAACATGACTGACGGTAAAAAAGTGAAATGCAATAAAGGACAGAGAGGGAGAGAGACAGAAAGAGAGGACAGCCATGCAGCGTAACTGAACCCAATCAGGCTGATGGGGGAAATACTCTGAATGTAGTTTATGGTAGAGGATTGTAGAGCACATTTTACATTTGCACACAAAACTGTTACTGTAGCAGCATGTTGATACTTGGTAAAACTACCTGAAACACAAATTTAATGAAATTATTAAGAACACAATGAATAAATAATCAGACGAATAACTTTTCGTTTCAGCCCTCGTTCTTTCACTTTAACACTCTTTTTGTCTCCTGTCCCTCCTCCCGTCCGGCCCTCGTCCCCGTCTTCAGCAGATGCCCCGTGCCGGGCTGCGACAGCCTGGGCCACATCAGCGGGAAGTACGCCACGCATCGCAGCGCCTACGGGTGTCCGCTGGCGGCGCGCAGGCAGAAGGAGGGGCTCCTGAACGGGACGCCCTTCAACTGGAAGGCCTTCAAGACGGAGGGGCCGACCTGCCCCACCCCCGGGTGCGATGGGTCCGGACATGCCAACGGGAGTTTCCTCACGCACCGCAGGTGAGCTTCAGACTCAGGGTTAGGTCCAGTTTAATTTTAGTAGATATTAGAACTGTTCGATGTTTAGGGTTTTATTTTAAAATCATTGAAATATTGTTTAACTAAGAATAAAAATATTTACCGGTTTATTAAAACATGCAACTCGATCCAGAACACAGGGCTCAGATGTCTGGTGGCAGAACATCAAAGCTAAGAGGACTCTTAGCTTGTCCTCTTAGCAAAAATAAAAAGAAAATAATAATAATTTTACACCATAAAAAACAGTGGTTTCTATGGACAAGTTCATATTTTCCAGGTGTACTTTCTATGGTTCAACTTCTATGGTGCAGGTCTACTTTCTATGATTCGGATGTAGTTCCTTTAGTTCAGTTTCTGTAGTTCAGGTGTAGTTCCTATGGTTCAGGTGTAGTTTATATAGTTCAGTTTCTATGGTTCATGTGTAGTTACTATGGTTCAATCTCTATGGTCCAGGTATAGTTTCTATAGGAAGGTTAAAAGAAAAACATGTTTGTGATGGAAATAAGTTCAGATCCAGACTTGGACAGAAGAGTAAGTAAAGACAGCAGCATTTTGTCCTCCAGCAGTCTAAATCTATAGAGGCAAGACTAAAGGAAAATTTAGGAAATCCAAATCAACCCTAACAACAGGATTTACCAAAAATGGAAATTTTTGGTAAATCAGCCTCATGAAGAGAAACTGGAAGGTTGTTCAGAAAGAAAGGAACCAAACAACTAAAAGCTCTGCCTCCTCTTTTAGGAACTATAGGAACCACAAATAAATAACAACAATATTATGGGAGGCGTTGCTTGGTGTGTAAATATCTTGGTGTAATGAAAACCTGTCTGTGAGGACAGTTTCTAGTTGAAGGTTTTTTCTGATAAAACGAAAAACTGTWTTGTGATTGTCTTTTCTTCTGCCACCTTTCAGCGCCTGTAGTCACCAGATGACAACCTTGTTTGTTTGACTGTTGTGTTTCAGCCTCTCAGGATGCCCCAGAGCCTTGTACGCCAAGAAGAAGGCCAAGTTTCCCTCAGAGGACTACCTGAGCACCAAGTTTAGAGCCACCGATGGTACGATATGTTGAAAAACTAAACCTTTTATTAAAGGCACTTTAACGGATACATTTCTTTACTTACTGACGGTATAAGTACATGTGTGTACACTGTGTATGAAGGTAAAATAATGTGAAAAATTAGAGATAAAATATACTAAGACAATAAAGGCAGAAAGTAAAAAGTACAGAATATGTAAACTTTTATTGAGTGTTTTGTTTTTTATTCATCTGGTTTAGTTTTGGACAATGATGAGGACATTAAGCAGCTCAACAAAGAGATCAACGACCTGAACGAATCCAACAACGAAATGGAGGCGGATATGGTCAACCTGCAGACTCAGGTGTGTCCTACAGCTGCAGTTTGTTTACCTCCTCAGGGCTGGAAAGATGTGTTTCCTGATGGATCTGAAATTATCATTATCTGWGATTAATTTTGTGAATTAAATCAAATGAGCATGTTTTGTAGAGCCCACAGATGGATCCTAACTTGTTCTAGGACCCCCGTATTAGGTCACTTTTAAGTTCTCAGATCTGTAACCAGTCGTTTAAAAGACGAGTTCAGGTTTCTGGGCGTCTTGTTAAGTTTTAGATCCATGTTCTGGGGTCTTGTCCTCGTTAATGAAKGTGTTGCTTCAGTACAACTGGTAACTGAGAGGCTGGCACTGGCAAATGAGAAGGAAACTGCTTATATGCGTTGGAGAAGCTAACATGCCTAAACTGGTCACTAACTGGACTTCCTACTCCCTCTGCTGTCCATGAGCATTGATAGTCTGGTTTTAGCATTGGATAGATGGCTTTAGCATTCGATAAACTAGCTTTAGCATTGGGTAGGCTGGTTTTAGCATTGGCTAAACTAGCTTTAGCATTGTATAGGCTAGCTTTAGCATTGAATGGACTGACTTTAGCATTGTCTTGGCTGGTTTAGCATTGGATAGCCTGGTTTTAGCATTGGATGGATAGCTTTAGCATTGGATAGACTGACTTCAGCATTGGATAGACTGACATTGAGTAGGCTGGCTTTAGCATTTGCAAAGCTGGTTTAGCATTGGATAGGCTAGCTTTAGCATTGACTTTAGCATTGTATAAGCTAGCTTTAGCATTGGATAGACTGACTTTAGCCTTGGATAGGCTGGTGTTAGCATGGATAGACTAGTTTTAACATTAGATAGGCTGGAGTCAATCATCTTCCTTAACTGTGGCGGCCATCTTGAATCAGCTCAACTTCAAAAGTTATTAAGTTACAGTTGTACACCCAACTAGTTCGTTGTGGTAATTTCCTAAAAGGCTTACCTCTGGTTGTTGAGATACAGTTGATCTTCTGGAACATATATGGACTTCCTGTTCTAACTTTGTTGCAGATCTCCTCCATGGAGAAGAACCTGAAGAGCATTGAGCACGAGAACAAGATGATTGAGGAGCAGAATGAGGCTCTCTTCATGGAGCTGTCCGGTCTGAGTCGGGCCCTGATCCGCAGCCTCGCAAACATCCGCCTGCCGCACTTGGTGAGCTTTGGTTTTTCCTTCAGTTTTGTTTATTTGGAGGTGAACGTTTCCTTCATCTCCATCTCGTCCGCTCGGCAGCAGGAGCCGATCACCGAGCAGAACTTCGACCGCTACGTGAGCACCCTGACCGACATGTACACCAACAAGGACTGCTTCCAGAGCCCGGAGAACAAGGCCCTGCTGGAGAGCATCAACAAGGCCGTGAAGGGCATCAAGGTGTGACACTCGGCTCGGTGAGGAACCTGAAGCTGGAGAAAACTTGATGGAGGAGATGTTGAAGTCCTCAACAACATCATTTAAAAACAAAAAACAAACAAAAAAAATACAAAAAGGGAATTCAGGTTACTTAAATAAACGGCAACTTTAAAACTAAACCAACCCAGGGAACGCTCTGAAGAAAAGTGACCAAAATCCACACCGTGCTGCTGCTGGGACTCATCGGACGGAAGAGAAGGAGAAAAAGGTTTCCACAAACTTTACCTGGAAGTTTTAAAGTTTTACCCATTCTTTTTTTAATCTCCTCTGCTTCCGGAGCGCAGCGTGACCACATTTTTATTTATTTAAAAATTTTATTATTTTTTTTGATGAGGTGTGGATTTCAAAGCTGCACGAGAGGACTCTCACGGCGGTTTGTAGCACTCGCCACGGTGCTCACGTGCGTTCACCAGCTCCGAAAAAAAAAAGTTTGCCGCCGCCGCCACAAACGCTCGCAACCTAGCAATATGAAGCAACCGCCGCCTGAACGTTTGTGGTTTCACTGCAGCGAAAACGGAGTCGGAAGCAGAAAATATTCAGATCTCAGAACAACTTAATTTTTTTTAACCTTTTTTTTTTTACCTGAAACGTTTCCACTTCGGTCATATCAGTAATATTTATCTAACGTAGGAATTGCACTTCATTTCAATACTTTTTTATTTTATTAATTTTATTTTTTGTGGTACAATTATTGTTATAAATGAATTATTTAAACTTGTGAACTTTTAAATTGTAACTTATTGCCATTTATGTTATTGAGGTTTATTTATTTGAAGCAATCTATTTATTATTAATATTATTATTTGTTTTGTAAGACAAAAAAAAAGAAAATGCATCTTTACTGAAAACTAACGAAACTTGCATTATTTTAAGAATCTATGATGACGAAAAGGAAAGGTTTTTTTTATAACAGATCGAACACTTTTTGATAATTTTACAAGTAAAAAATGTTGAGTTTTTATTTTTATTTGTTTGGTTTTTTTTGTTACGGGAATTCACTGCTGAGATGACGTAAAAAATTTATTTATTATTTATTTAATATGAAAGAAACCGGCTGTATATTTATTTTATTTATGTGCGTGATGTGACGGTTCAGTCCGAGTAGAGTTAATTAAACAAAAAAAAAAAAGAAAAAAAGAAAAACGTTGCTAATATTTAAATAAAGAAACGACCAACCGGTACCGCTTGGAACCAGCAGCTGATTGTACGACGACCCAACTTAAAGCACTCGTTTGATTTCTGCGTCTTTGCTTCTGTCAGGTGGGAAAACAAAACAAAAAAGTAAAATAAAAAAAATTACCTCTCCGAAGCGCTTTGTAGCGGCCAGCTCTGGCTCACCCAAACCTCTGCCGTACCCCGGCTGACTTCTTCTCGACCCGTTTTATCCGGTCCACACGGGGCCCCTGCAGGATACGATAAAATCCTTCTAACACACACACCCTTGTAGCCTTACTCTAGATTTTAATTTTTTTTGATGCACAAAGTGCCACTGATGACAAAAAAGGAATAATAATAATAAAAAAAAAAGATACTTTTCTTTCCGGATTCTTTGCATCTCCCGTCGGGTCGAGAGGCGACCCCGGCGCCGAGCGAGTGCTGATTGTTTCAGATGCCTTTATTTCTCTGCCAAGATGGCCATAAGTACACTATATATACATTCTGTACAAATAGATTTTAAAGATGCTATATATATGAATATAAACATACATATATTTTTCCAGTGTAATTGTTGACTTCTTCTCTTGTGTCAAAAAAAAAAGCTGTTCAGAGGAGACGTGAGGGTGATCACTAAGACCTGCTCAACTGTGGCTTTAATTAAATATTCAGTCAACCTCAAAAACATCCAGTCGTTGGGGGAAATTTAAATAAAAACAGAATCATTTGTAAGTCTCATAAACTCAAATTTTATTCACGGTGGAACGCAGCAAACAGATTAAATGTTTAAAATTAATAAATGAACTTTTATTTTGAAAAAAACAAAATATATACTATAATTTTGAATTCTATGGCAACAAATTGTCTTTAAATTTGTCCCAGGTCCATAAAGCTCCAGGACCTGAGGAGACCAGTTCTAGAGGTTTTATAGGGACTGAAGAGACCAGTTTTGGAGATTTTAGAGGATCTGAGTAAAACCAGTTGTAGAGGTTTTGGAGGGAATGTTGTCCCGTTCTGATCTGGAGGACTCTGGTCTACGGTTCTGGATGGAGTCAAATGTTCCACAACATGTAAATACTTTTCTGCATTGGTGGAACTTTTCCAGACGTGTAGGCTGCTCATGTTAGAGGCATTAATGCACCCCCATACCATCAGAGAGGCAGGCCTTTGAGCTGTGCACTGATAGCAGTCTGGATTAGTTCGAAGGACGTGGCGTCTGCAGTTTTTGAAAATAATCTCAGATTTGGATCCATCAGATCAGAATAGTTTTCCACTTTGCCTCTGTGCAGTTTAAACATCTTCATCTTTGCGTGATAGAGCTTTAAGCATCATTAGTGGATGTCACAGTGATCTGTGGACATGTTCCTGAGTCCAAAAAATCACCTTATTAAAACTATTGGAACAGTTTATTTCAACATTTCTTGTTTTAAGTGATCCATTTTAAAAAAAATGTTTGGGTTTATGAGATTTCCAGATCGTTGAATTTTGTTTTTCTTTACATTTTACAACAACGATCCAACTGTTTTTGAAATCGGGGTTGAAGTTGATACTTTTTTTCTCTCCCCCCACCCCCCTCCCCCACACCTTCTTCATTTTGTCCACTCGTCTTGTCTGTGGATCGGAAAGTGTCAGTGTCTGTTTTTAACGACCGGATCTGAAACTCAGCTGGATCTTTGTTCCTAAGTGTCGCGTAGATTCATGTAAAAATTAAAAAAAAAACAAGAAGGTTGACGCCTCTGAATAATGTTCTGCACATCGTGTTCAGCAGCATAGTGCAGTTTATTATTATTATTATTATTATTATTATTATTATTATTGTGTATTATTATTGGTGACAGCCGGCGTGCGCCAAGTGTAAAATAAAATGTTCAAAAATGTCACTAACATGTTTCATTATTGAGCTCAATTTCTGAGATTAAAATCCTAGTTTAAAAATCTGCTAATGTTTTTGTTTAGCTCACTGTTCTTACATTTTGCTATTTTTTCTAAATATTAAATCCTAAATCTAAATGTAAAAGTTAATTCTTAAATGTTTAAATTCAAGAATTTCAGAATGGAACACAGCCTTTCCTGTAGGTTTGCAACTATTGTTGTGATGTCATCATTCGGAGACAAAAGCAACCGCTAATGCTAATGCTGCTAATGCTTCCCTGCAAGACATGAAACTTGCAGTTGTGTCTGGTGTCAAAGCTGCCGAACCACAACTGTACTGTTTTCAATGAACACATTTTGAATTTAAATTTTAAATCATCTTCAGTAGCGTTAGCAGTGTCTGTAGCGTTAGCACTGTTAGCAGAGTTATCAGCGTTAACGCTGTTAGCAGCATTAGCAGAGTTAGAAGCATTAGCTGTGTTAGCAGCATTAGCACTATTAGCAGCGTTAGAGTTAGCAGCATTGGCTTTTGTAACAGGATGACAACAGACAAACCAACGACAAAGGCTGCGTTCCATTCTGAAATTCTTAAACGTAAACTTTACCATTTAGATACATTTACATTTAATATTTAGTAAAAAGTAGCGAAATGTAAGGACAGTGAGCTAAATTACAAAAAACATTAGCAGATTATTTTAAACTSGGATTTTACACTCAGAAAGTGAGCTAAATGATGAAACATGTTAGAGACGTTGTTTTACATTTTATTTCACGATGACGCCTCGTGGCGGCCCGCTCTCTGTGAGCTCTTTTAACGTTGAAACAAACCAGTAGGAGACGTTCGTGTAACCAGCCTTGGAGTGGTGTTCAGTACGATTCCCGTGTGTAACTCTGATGTCAAAGGCATGTTGTAAATGTGCTCTTAGCCAACGTAGAATGAAGCTCCTTCGTGCACTTTCTGAAATAACTGTTGAAAAAAACGCCAGCATTTCGAGTCGTGTGAGCGTCCGAGGGTTCAATATGTTGAAAAAAATAGAAATAAAAAAAGGCTTTTCTTTTTTCCAAATAAGAGAAAACCAAAAGAGATTGACAGGAAGCAGAGTTTGGTTCTCAGGTGACCGGGGAAAAGAGGAGGAGGAAGGGCAGAAYGGAGCATCGCCATAGGTCGAGCAGTCAGCTGAGGCTAGAGGCGCTCGCAGCGGCTGGATCAAGGCCTCTCGCCGAAACGAGACGAGCGCGTGGGAGTGGGAAATTGATTCGCCGGGCAAAACAATCTCCACTTTGTTGTCGGAGGAGGCGTTTGTTGCATAAATATGTGGACGTCACTCAGAAGAATGTCAAAGCTTTTTATGACTTTTTACCCAAACCTCCCCCCACCCCCACCACCCTCACCTCCTTGTTCTTCATGTCTTGTGTAACCTTTCCTCAGGAAAGATAGTTTGGATGCATTTGGTTAACAAAGTAGTGTGTTCCTCCTCTTGAAATGCACGAGAAAAACTACCCGAGAGTGTTAAGACTGTGAATATTCTCCTAACCTATTTGATATGGCATGACCCCTTTTAAACTGCTTGATGAAATTGTCTACTGAGGTATGTAAATGAATAACACTGAGGCCATGAAAGCAGAGCGGGTTTTAAAAAAAAAAAGTCAGCAAAGAAAGCGAACGCAGCCCACGGTTGGTCCTGCCGCCTACACACTGTATGTTTTCTTATTCTCATAAAAGTCCTGAGTGATGGAGCGGCTCCGACGGTTCCCAACATCGTTTTAACCGGACAGTTTCCC